AATGCTACTGGAACATAGACAGATGAATTCTGGTTGGGAGAAATGAGAGAAGGTGACATGCAGGAGACATTTCCAGAGTGGAATTAACAAGAATCAATCGGCATGAGGGAGAAGAAAAAAAGGGTATGACTCTAGAGGTTTCTATGGGGCTAACTGGGTCAGTGTCAATACTATCTTCTAAAACAAGACAAGAGAAGTGCACCCAGCACTTTAAAATTAGTGAATAAATATTTACTGATTAATGAGATGAAAGTGGGTCCAGTTTTATACATGTAAATATACATATTATATTTCAAGGTTAAGGAGTCCATAATCAGTTGGAAACACTATTTTTTTTTTTTAACCCTTTTGTCTTTTTTACTGACCGGTAACGGGATCGCAACCCTCGGTGTCGTGCCCGCACCGCGCTCAGCCAGTGAGCGGGAACCGGTCTCCACATGGGATCCAAACCCTCAGCGGGAGCGCTGCCGCGCTCCCAAGCGGTGCACTCTCCAGTGCGCCACCGGGCCGGCCCTGGAAACACTATTCTATTTCCTATTTCCCTTTATAACAAAATGGCATTGTAAATTCAGAATTGTTTCCTTCATTTGTTAGGGGATTTTCTGGGTTTTTAAAAAATTTTTATTGAATCATAATTGATTATACATATTTTGAGGGTTCAGTGTTGACATATGTTGATCAAATGAGTATTACTAGCAGGCCGGCCCGTGGCTCACTCGGTAGAGTGCGGTGCTGATAACACCAAGGCCACGGGTTCGGATCCTATATAGGGATGGCCGGTTTGCTCACTGGCTGAGCGTGGTGCTGACAACACCAAGCCAAGGGTTGAGATCCCCTTACCGGTCATCTTTTAAAAAAAAAAAAAAAAATGAGTATTACTAGCATATACATTGTTATAAATTGTACTTATTCTTTATGCCCCTTGTCCAATCTCTCCCTATCCCCCTCTCTCTCCCTCCTCCCACCTCTGATAACCCTAGATTTCTTCTCTCTTTCTGAAAGAGTAATGGTTACTCTGTTGATTTGTTGCCTAGATGATCTGTCCAATTCTGAGAGGTGTGTTCAGGTTCCCCAATGTTATCATAGAGCAGATGCTTCTGTCACTCTGAAATGGGCTTTGTGGAGAGACACATCTTCTTTTCTTTAGTCTCTGCTGGTGACTCTCCTTGTGTCAATGCACTCCAGTGGCTGGCAGACCATCTGTATGGTGGTTGTGGCATCTAGCTGCTTTTGCGGCAGCCATGGTTATTGCGGTGGCTGTGGTGGGCCACCCATATGGAGGTGATGTTTTTGGTATGCTCCTTGGTGCTGGTGGTGTGCCTGGTTCTGGGAGGGGGGTCCGGTCTCCAGCTCCATACCTCAGGTCCCCTGGTGGACTCCGAGGCACTTGCAGTGTGTCTGGGCCAGAACTAATTTTTTGTCCTTTGCTGACTTCTAAAATGGGGGAACTTCCTGTGAGGACCAGTACTTGAGCTGTGTGGTTTAGCTAAATTGCTGCTTTGCTGCTGATTCCCTAGGGAAGGATTTTGTGCAGTTCCAGTTTTAATGGTTGACTTTATAGATACTTCTGGCTCTCCACAGACCCGGTGCACCTGGATTGTGTAGAAACTCTGATCTGGGCCTGAGTCTTTTCATCAAACTGCACCCCATGCACTTCTATATTCCTGACCAGTCTCCTCTGAGTGGTCCTTCGCTGATTGGGGTGCCTGTCAGCTGTCCTTGCTGTGCCCCAGTGTTCCCCTGATGGCCCATCTCCTCCCCTACCACCTGTGCTGCAAACACTTCCCATGGGATGGGCTGTACAGCTGTACACCAGTCCCTTACAATGACTCACTGGCCTCTAGTGGCTGCTTTTTGTCAGTTGTTGTGGCTCCTTGCTACTATGTGGGTCCACGGGAACCCTATTAGTGGTCTTGTTGGCTTGGGGGCCACCAGGGCCCTTTTCTCCCCTGCCACCTCCAAGCAACTTCATCTGAAGGGCACAGCTGAAGCTTTTGCTGGCTCCTGCTCCATGTGTTCAGCAGCTCCAGCCTTAAAGCGGCCGCAGCACAAAATGGTTGGAGTGGTTTTTTTCTTTCTCTCATCATGGCTTCTCCCACCTTCATGTACTTCATAGGTCTCTCCTCTTCCCCTGAGCTCTAGTGGACCCAGCTTAGCTGTCATTGGTTTTTTACAGTTGTAAATTGGTTAATCTGTGGGAGAGAGTGATGCTGGGGACTGTCAATTCTGCCATCTTGACTGAAAGCCTCAAGGACCTCATTTGTTAGTTTGGACATAAAAAGACTAAAGTTCAATTAAGGTTACAAAGCCAGCCAAGTAAACAGAAATTGGCACTTCCACCTAATTCTTGGCCTACCCTCCTCTCAGTTTTTCTCCCCTTGACTCCCCCCTCATAAACCCACCTTTCAGGGGGAAAAAATTCTTCAGGAAAAAATATTAGAGATAATTAAGGCTGGCCAGTTGGTCAGCTGGTTAGAGTGCAGCCTTCTAACATCAAGGTCAAGGGTTCAGATCCCCATACCAGCCAGCTGCCACAAAATAAATAAATAAGAAATAATTAACTAAGCACCTATTAAACCAGGAGGTGGCTCAGAAATCTATATCTGGCTCTTCCAGCTATCAGCTATGTGACTGTTCAGCAAGAAATTTAATCTCAATCTCTGGCTTCAGTTTCCTATTTGAAAACTGGAGATAATTAAGTACCTACCTCATAATATTGTCTTAAACATAAGTACCTGGAATATGGTAACTTTTAAATGTTAGCTATTGATGTTATTATTACTATTATGATTTTGAAATACTAATTGTATTATTTTGAATTCTGCAAATATGACATATCATCTTTGTGTGTCTAGTTCTTTAACTGTTCTGTCTTCTTTATCCCTAGATTCCCTTCTGTAACCAGGAGTTTAGCACCATACACAGTGACAGGGATCAAAGCAAAAAGCCAACAGGCCTCAATCCTGAGCTAAGGAAAGCAAATATTGAGGAGAAACCTGTGCATCCCATTAGCCGCCAACACCAGAACTAGTGGAAAGATCAGAAGATTGAGCATGGCTGCTTCCTAGCTCTACAAAGGAAAGCAATTAATACAACTGCTCCAGACTGGAGCTAATCTAATGAGATTACGTATGTGAAAACATCTTGTAAGAGATGAGACAAAATACACATGTTATCACCACTCTCAGCTACCTTCATTCATTTAGCAAATCCTACTGGGCAGCACCCCCAGAGGGGAGAGAGGTTGCTGTCCATAACCTCCTCCTTTGATACCCATTTCTGCCACCATTTGGAGCAACTTCCCCAGCACCATAAAGCAAGCAGGGGAGGATAAAGTCAGAGGGTCTAGCCACTAATTAACATTAGGTTGGTAAAAAATCTGCTTCTACTGCCATCTTTCTTGCATAGAGCAAATCTATGTCTGCAATATTAGTAATACTTTGCGGGAGTACAACAATATAGGAAAAATAAGTCAGTCAGTCTGTCATTCGGCAGGAAGAGCCCCAACACACAGCACTGTCTCGGGGGAAGCACTTCTAAACTGTTCCTACTTTTCACCGGCCTATGTGCTTATTCCTTTCCTTTACTAACAAAGAATCTGAGTTTTTTCACATCTCCACTAATGGTGCTGACAAGTGAAGGGGCAGTTGGCAGAGGAGGTAACCGAGACTAATGTGTGTGTTGGTCCAAAGGGTGGAGGGGTAGCTGAGGCTGGACAATAATATTCCCTACTAGAATAAGGCTTCTCTGCCTGCCAGCTGGGCTTCTGGGACAACCACGTGTATCATGGATGGAGAGGGTTTTGGAGCCAGCCAGCCTATGAATTCTATCTTCACAGACCAATAAACCTTGGAAAGTCTTCTCTATGCTTCAATTTTCTCAACTGTAATAAAAAGAGCAATCATAGTATTCACGGTTACCATTTTTCAAGTACCAGGCATCATGAATTTGGCATACATTATTTCACTTAATCCTTGCAATCATTCCAGAAAGCAAAATGTAGATTAGATTAGGTAGAAATGTCCTTAGGACTAAATGAGATGACATGTTAAATGTCTAATACCTAAAAGTTGCCCAACTAATTTTGGTGCCCAGAATGCCATCTGCCTACTCAGCTTTGCTCTCCTTGAGTGTTCCCACCATCCAGGGACAATGCCCAATACACAGAACATACAATATTTACTAAGTTGGAAGAGCAGCCCTAGGGCCTATAAGACATATAAATGGGGACCACAACTCTTAAATTCCTCAGACTGATTGATAACATTAATGTCAAGGGTCAAGGGTTTGGATCCCACACCGGCCAGCTGCCCCACCCCCTCCAAAAAAAGGGAGAAAATTCATCAGAATGAAAAACAGGCATGGAGGAAAAGCCAGAAAGGTTTGCCTTTTCACCAATCATTGATGCAACAAATATCTATTGAGTGTTTACACTGTGTGCCAGACATCTTGCCAAGTCAGGGGACATGGCAGTAACATCTCAAACATGTAACTGCAGATGGACTGAATGAAAATGGAAGAATATAATGGCACAGGAGGGGGGCAACTGATGGGGATCTCAGGGTCTGGCAGAAGACAGACCTGGGTTTGAGCCCTGGCTCTGCAGCTGATTAGCTCTATGACCTTGGGTACATTATTTAACCTGCTCCTAAGTTTGAGTTTCATCATCTATGCAGTGGGGTATATAATAAGAGTACCTTCACTTCATAGGACTGTTGTGAGGAATAAATAAGATAGCCTGTCTCAAGTGCTCAGAATAGTGCCTAGCACAAGGCAAGCATTCTGTGTGAACTATTACAATTAACACAATGCCTGGCACATAAGCAAATTGACATTTATTATTGTTGTTTCTGGAAGTTAAATCCTGGCCATAGGCCTCATGCTGAACAAGAGAAACCTCTAGGGCATTTTCTGGGTCCCAGTGCCTCTGGCCGTCACTGCCACAACTCAGGAACCAAGGGCAGACTGCCATCACGGGCTGCTAAGGTTGGTACTCTCACCTGAGCCACTGGGAAGAGGTGTTCCTTGTCCACCTGGGCCGCAATGGGAAACAGCTCCTTCTCAGCAAAGTCCCGGCACGTCTGACGCAACATCTGGTGTGTCTCGGGCAGTTCCACAGACTGGTAGACAGTGTGTAACCACCGCCAGTCCCGAGGACGGAGAGCTGCCAGGAAGAAGAGCAGGAGTCAGTGGAAGGAGAATTAAGAGCTCTTAAAAGCTCTTAAAATAGGGCCAAGCCTGTGGCGCATTCGCCGCTGGTTCGGATCCTATAGAGGGATGGCCGGTGCGCTCACTGGCTGAGCACGGTGCTGCAGGTCTCAAAAAGGACAAAAAAAAAAAAAAAAAAAAAGCTCTTAAAATAATAATAAAAATAGCGATCCACTAACTTAGTGGTTCTCCACCAGGGACATCTGCCAACGTCTACAGACATTTTTGGTTGTCACAGCTGTAGGGGGAAATGCTATTGGTATCCTCTGGGTAGAGACCAGGGATGCTGCTAAACATCCTACAATGCATGGGACAGCCCCCACAACAAAGAATTGTCGGCCCAAAATGTCAATAGTGTCACTGTTAAAAACCCACACTAAAGTTACTATGTTCACTAAACGCTTTACACAAATTACCTCATTCAGTTTTCAGTACAATACCAATAATAATAAGGCCATAGCTCTGTAACCTCAAGCAAGGGTTTTAATTTCACTGGGCCTCAGTTTCTATAAAATGTGGAGGACAACGGTCCTGGCTCCTGGGGATGGGAGGATTACAGAAATACTAACTATAGCACTCAGTGAAGATCTCAATAAAGGTTTCCCCTTCTTGTTATTATTCAAGGTGAGCGGATCTGGACCAGGCAAAAGAAGCCTTGGCCACATGTGTCACTGCTGCTACAACTGGAGACAGATGATAAGATGGGAATGGTGCTGTATTAAATAATCAACAACAGCTGACATTTCCGTAACACCTGTTCCACGCCAGGCATTGTACTAAATGTTTTACATACTACGTGATTTCATTCTTCCAACAACTCTCTGAGACCAGTAATACTTCACTGTAGCCATTTTGCACATGGGTCAACTGAGACTGAGAAGGGCTGAGCGTCTCACCCAAAGTCACAGATGCGAGTGTGGGTTCAATCCCAGGCCTGGACCCGAGGTAAGGGCGTACCCTGAACCTCCGCTAGGGGTGAAATGAGGGAGCGGCGGTGAATGCGGCCGTGAAAGTTGGGCAGGTGATGAGAATCAGCCAGGGAACGGGGTGTGAGCGGAAGCCAGGGGTGCCTGAAGGGCAGGGGCCCGGCAGGCGCTAAGAGCAACCGAACTGGGGCAAAGGCCGCGCGCGCTCCAGTGGGGGAGCAGAACCGCCGGCCGCCCGCGGCTGGGGTAGAATCGGACGCCGAGACCGACGCCCGCTTGGTCGGCCCCTGCTGCGGGGCCGCTGCGCAGAGCCTGAGCTTACTCACCTCCGCGGAGAGGGCCACGGGCCCGGGCGAGCAGCGTGGCGGCCATGGCTCACTGACACTGCGCTGAGTTTCTCCTCTCCGACCTCCGACCTCCAGCGCGGGTTCCGGACTGCAAGGGGCGGGGCCGGCGCCGGCGCAGGGCGGGAGGCCACGCCCTCGGGCCGCGGAGGCGGGACCATCACGCACGCGCGCGCGCGTCCGGGGGCGGGGCCTACGTCAGGCCTTCCCACCGGGATGAGTTTGATACTCTTCTGCGCGCGTGGAGTTATCTGAAGCAGGCCACCTTGTTGTCATGATCTTGTCGTTAATTAAAATGCTGACAGGACGGGCCGGCCAGTGGCTCACTCGGGAGAGTGCGGTGCTGATAACACCAAGGCCCCGGGTTCGGATCCCACATAGGGATGGCCGGTTCGCTCACTGGGTGAGCGTGGTGTTGACAACACCAAGACAAGGGTTAAGATCCCCTTACCGGTCATCTTTTAAAAAAAAAAAAAAAAAAATGCTGACAGGACAAAGCCAAGGACAGAGTCTCGCATAAAGGCATAGAGGTCTTTTTAAAACTTAAATGATATAGCAGTCCTCGCCTTAAAACCCATCGTCGAAGGGCTCTTCTCTCCTAAAATCCAATTCCATGGCCTCAAAAGCTCTCTCGGACCTGCCCCTGCCTGCCTCTCCTTCTCCATGCCCACCGCTTTCTGGTTGTCTTTGCTCCAGCCACATGAGGCAGCTCTCCTCTAAGACCCCGAGCTAGTTCTTGCCTCTGGGCCTTTACAATCACTGTTCCCTCTGCTTGGAATGCTCCGCTTCATTCAGGAATCACTCGCCGAGACCTGTCCTGAGCACACCAGGCCCGTGTTTCTCCCCCATACGCTTTCCACACGGCACTTCGCACCTAAAATTATCTTAGTTATCATCTCCCCCACTAGTCCGTTCGCTCCAAGAGGGGCAAGGGCCTTGTCTTGCACTGGTGCTTAATATTTAGGCCCATGGGATTGGGAGATCTTTCCTTCAGAGGTTGTGATGGTGGGGCGGAGCTGCTGCTTCTCTGTTCCACTGTAGTGCTATCTGTTTCACTCCCAGTTGGGGGATGGGGAGACAGAGCCCTGTTGGGAGGAGGAGGGGTGCTGACCCCTAATGTCATGCATTTGATCCCTAGCATCCTCATCAGGACACCATGCCTTCAACCTGCACAAGAAACTATGATGATTTCACTTGCCCCACAGTGGTCTCCCATCGGCACAAGTGTGACTCTGCCCCAGCCTCCCAGGTACCCACACATCCCACCAGCTGCCTTTCTCCCCCATAACCCAGCCAAGTATCTGTCCCCAGCACTGACCTGTCTTCCTCCAAGACCTTGCTCTGCTTCCTAAAGAACAATCAAAACATGCAGCAAAGTCCTTAATATGTTACTCTTCATTTTAAAAAATAGGCTGGCTGGTTATTTTAATTGGTTAGAGCACTGTGTTATTGTTATAACACCAAGGTCAAGGATTCAGATCCCCATGCCAACCAGCCACGAGTAAAAAAAAGTTCACTTAAAGGAAAGCTTCTCAATCTATAGTACTCTAAAATCAAATGACTGACTGTCTTTGGCAAATCCTCTGAAGTCTCCTTCACCTTTCAGGTATCCCACCTTGGTACCAGCGCTGGGTGGAAGAAAAGAGGAAAAAGCAGGATTATTTCAGGTGCCACAGACCATCTAACCCAGACTCTTATTTTAAAACTGTATTGTGACCAGAAATATGGATGAAAGTTTTATACTAAAAGTATACAAGCTTTCCATGAATTGGATAGTGTTTGCAAGAGGCTGGGGCAGAGGAGGAACTGGCCACAAACAAAAGGAACTCAAGGGAACTTTCTGAGTAGGTGTGATGAAATGTCCCATATCATGATTGTGATGAGGGTAATAAGACTGTATAAATTTGTCAAAATGCATCAAATTATACTCTTAAATTATACTTTAATAAGCCTACCTTTAAAACACGGAGGTAGGGCCGGCCCGTGGCTCACTCGGGAGAGTGCGGTGCTGATAACACGAAGGCCACGGGTTCGGATCCCATATAGGGATGGCCGGTTTGGGTGAGCGTGGTGCTGACAACACCAAGTCAAGGGTTAAGATCCCCTTACCGGTCATCTTTTAAAAAATAAAAATAAAAAAATAAAACACGGAGGTAAGTGGCAAAATATAAAGCAAAAACATTAAACCTAAAGCACAATACTGTTTCCCAGTCACCCTATAAATCAGCTATGCTCGTTAAACTATTTACTGAAAGGCCATGTAATAGCCAAGGTAAGAGAAACTTGGAGCCCACCCTCACCCCACCCCTGCTCCCCCCAGCAACACAAGGGGCCCAGTCAGGAGACAAGACAGGGGAGACCTACTGTGAAAATGTTTCTTTTATTACTGTTTCTTGCGGCAAAATAACATTTTATACAAATAAGTCACCTAGTTTACTCTGGACACAAAGACAATACAAACTGGAATGAGGATCCTGGGTGAAGTGGAAAAGAGGAGGAAGGACAGATCAGGTCATTGATGTTTCTTATATTCTGTGAAAAATAGATTTACAGGGAAAAAAATAGACTTTCACAAATTCAATAACTTTACATGATCCTTTGCAAAACAACAGGTAAATCCACCTCCACCAGATCCTTCTTGTGGCTAAGATGTTCTGTGACATGGAATGTAAGTAACATGATGGTTCAGTGATTAGGCTCCTATACAAGGTACAGCAGCATTCTCTGCAGCAGGAATCCTTGTGCACTGGAAAGGAATCTGTGCTGTGATTTTTAGAACAGGCTATCCCCATCCCCAAACCACTCTGATGTCATGTTGACATTGGCAACCAAAAGAATATGACTTCACAGAGAAAAAAGAGTACCCTGAGAGCCTACCAGGGGTGTCAGGACACATTAAGGCAGAATTCATCCAATTTGTACATTAGACACAGTCTATTAAATCTGCTCCAGAAATGAGTTCCACTTCAAGTGAAAAAATAAGTTGAAGATTGCCCAATCGCTGCCATTTCAAGAATCACCAATCTATAGTTAGCCCCAAACATCCCCAAATCAGTGTCCTTATGTATTGGCAATCAGATGGCCCAAAGACTGGTGTCTTCAGGAAGTACATGACCCTGAAAAATGTTTTCTCTGCAAGCCAGCTTTGAGCTAATACGTAAGGAAACAACAGCCTACTTTGGCCCAAAAGTACTTTTAGTTTTTTCCTCTGTTTAGAACACAGAACAAAACAGAACACAGAACCCTTTAGAACACAGAACAAAATAAAACAGGATCTTCTTCAGAGAAGCTAGCTGGGCATCTTAGTCCAAAGGCTTCACAGGAAAAGAAAGGCTCTCTCCAGGAGATTCCAAGGCAGAGGGACAGGGACAATACAGGAGAGGAAGAGGTGAAGGCAGCAGGCCCCGTGGTACCAGGTGGGCCTGAGAGTCTGCTGGAATGTGTTCCCCCTAGGAGCTACCTCTCAGATGCCAGCTCTTAACAGAGGGCCTGGTCTCCCCATGCAGGTAGTTGTTTTTTTTTTTCCCCTCCCATTGTATCAGCCACAAGACAAGTGCTATCAGGAGACTACATCCCTTAATAATACAGCCTCCTGATTCATCTTCTGATTGGTTCAATTACTTTCAGAGAAAGTATGATTTCCAATTCTCTCCTCAATTCAGGTACAAAAGCTTGAATTTCAAACTCATCCCAGTTAACACTCCAGAGTAGTAATGCTTCTCAAGATTTCCTGAGCAGCTAGACACAGGAATCCTGAGCCCCAGATATAGAACATCATATCTTCAGGGTTGGAGGATGGCAAATCCCTGTCCTCCTGGGCACAGATTAAGCACTTGGCCTTAGAATGGTCTCCAGTGAAACTAAGGCAAACTGACAGGGAAGAGGATACCGCACTGCTCAAGCCAGAGTACCTCCCCCATCCTCCGGGTCCTCTTCCTAGCAAAAGTCAACACTGCAGATAAGAGATAGCACACTAGTGTACAAGATATAGTCTATCCTGGGGCACATTTCCAAACATACTCCATTGAGCAGAGCTCTGGGCAGCTCTGGAAAACACATCCTGGATAATGTTTAAATATCAAATAGTAGAAATTCTCCCAATTGGGCTTCTATCAGAGAGAAGGAATGTTTCTAAAGCTTGACAGAAACATGCAAATCCCATTAGAGAAGCCACAATGAGAAACAGAAGGTAAGGAGACAGCGCTGATGTCTGCCCGCAGATGAGGAGGAGGGGACGATGGCAATGCAGCTTTCCCCAGCAGCATATGGGACAGAGCCACACTTAAGGCACCTGAATTTGTAGTTGACTCCAGTTCTGAGATTCGCCTGGTCTGGTGATGAGGAACCCACTCTGCAAGGTGCATAGTCTCTTCCTTCCCTCAGTGGTTGAAACCAGTACCATCACACAAGGGTATCCTAGGGCTTTCTCAGTGAGAAGGCCTCCAACATATGGCATCGCCGACACTCTGGCCTGGCACAGCACACTGGGCCAAGGTTCAAGGCCACTCACTCTCTAGAATTCAAACAGGGAGCAAAACTATTTGGCGAATGCACAAGGACTTCTGTGGCAAAGTGCTGGCCCTTCTTTACTGGCCCCACATGGCCTTTTTCCCAAGCATCCTGGAACAAAGCAATCCTGTGACAGGTACTGTGATGCCTCACACACCTGGGCCCTTCCTACTGACACCTTTCATCAATGCTAAATGGACACTGGTACTAAAGTCTGGGCTGAGCACCTAAAGCCATCCACACAGACAACCGCAGGGAACTGAGAAGGTGAGAGTCTGTCCAATAAGAGTCTGAAGACAACAGTAGCCCACAGGATGTGCAAGGGAGCTTTCTTGAGAGCACATCACACTGACAATCCACTTCAGCCTAATTTGCCCTTGCCAAACACCCAAAACAATTCCAACTAGCAGCTTGAAGGATCAGAATATGCATTACTTAAGTCTGACTTGCCAGGATAATTCCAGAAACTACTTCAGTAGAAAGGCAGACAGGAAAACCCTCCTACATAAGGAATCTACAAAAAGTTTCAGAGGCAGGGCCGGCCCGTGGCTCACTCGGGAGAGTGCGGTGCTGATAACACCAAGGCCCCGGGTTCGGATCCCATATAGGGATGGCCGGTTCGCTCACTGGCTGAGCGTGGTGCTGACAACACCAAGTCAAGGGTTAAGATCCCCTTACCGGTCATCTTTAAAAAAAAAAAGTTTCAGAGGCAGATCCTCATCAAAAGCCAGGCTGCTATGTAGAGAAAATCAGATCTTTCCTTTAAAGAAGCTGCTAGTTTGTAACTATACCTTCCCTAGCATGAGTCAGATTAGCCCTGGGAGCCTGATGAATATTATCAGTAGTCTAACCACACATCACATATGCTGGGAACACTGCTGACATTTTATAAAACCTCACAAAAAGAAGTCCGGAAATAAACAAAATATGACAAGGCCTGCTCTGACCTCAAGAGATACTACTGTTCCATGAGCAAAACCGACACATTCTATCTCAGGAGATACTCAAAGTTAGGAGCCAGGAGAAGCAGAGCAAGCTCATCTGTCCTCCAAAATGAGCACAAAAAGGCACTGCCAGGCTGAAACCTCAGTCCATGCTCAGGAGGACTCGCTGAGGATCCTGGAAGTCAGACAGATCAGCAGTCCTCTCCACAAAATGGATCTTTCAGTTTGACAGCATCCCCCATCCCTGGTAACTCCACTCTAGGTACCACCCCTGACCTCCACCACTTCAAATTTCTTCCAGTTGGTTTAAGACTAAGCATAGGCTGAGGACAGACTGTGCTGATGGCAACACCAGAAGTGAGAGGAGGAATTGCCTGGAAGAGGCCTACCTTTAAAGTTCTCACAGCACCCAGGAACCTCAAGGAGAGCTACTAACCTGCACATGGGCCTGGCCAGAGCCTTCTCACCTGGCACAGCTATGCCCGAAGAGATCGAAGCTTGTCAGGACAACCAGTAGACAGCTAGAACTACATGAAAATAACTTTTCTTTTTATCTGGATTCCAAAAACCCTATCCTAATCTTTTACTTTACTATAGTACTTCTGCGACCTAAGGGGCAGGGGGAGAAAGGGAAGAAAAAATACCAGGGAAGAAAACACAGCACTGTTTGGTACCTCCCTTGGAGCACAGGACACTTCCACCCCAGCCCTGGCTTCCTGGGGCCAGATTCCAGGTATGTGTTGACAAACAGCAGCTTCAATCACCTCCGTGTGCCAGGACTATGTGGTCACAGCAAAGCACCTCCCCTGTCCACTCTTGCAGCAGTTACTGGCCTCCATTATAGGCATAATCAGCCTTGTTGTGCATTATCAGCTTGTTGTCAACAAAGTAGAAGCTGTCAGAGCGGGTCTCATAAGGATTTTCAATCATCAGACGAACTGCAAGTCAGGGAAAGGAAAAAAGCAGAGTTATATGTGAGTCTGCCCCACAGGCTAGGTGGAAAAAAGTTAGTATCCCCCCCAAAATTCATAAGCCAGTACTTCTGGAAAATGTGAATATACTATGACAGAATAATGAGGTCAGAATAGAGGGAGCCAGCCCTAGAAGCTGCTGAGACCACAGAGGCCCCAAACAGAACACGATAATCACTTCAACATAAGGATGCAATCAACTCCCTGACAAGGTCCTCCCAGGTCATCTGCAGCCTGGCTTCTTACAGTCAGCACCCCAAGGAAATGTGCTCACCCTTTTGCCAACGTAGACCCAGTAGCTTATTTACTCAGTGCTCTCATCTGACCAAAGCAAGCCCTGGCTTCTGGTCTGCGCCCACCTCTACACATTCTAATCCAAACTTAGAAAGCTGTGCCTCCGTGTACCTGACAACAAGGAATCCTAGGTGTGGACAAGTGCAGGGGGAAAGGGCAAGGAGCCTTCCTCAGAGATGGCTCAGGCATTAACTCACAAGTGATATAGAAATAGGTCTGCTTGGCTTGGGGTCTAGATTTATCTCTTCTGTTTGTTCAGGCAATTGCCCAGACCTCTTTAACCATACTGGAGAGTAAAGATAAGTAACAGTCACTACCTCTAATCAATTTGGAGTTAATAATTAAATGACATTTTGAGTCTTCTGGAGCAAATGCTATTGCTTACCATAGTTCTCAAAGGGTAAAACCGATTTTTTAAAGTTCTTTGAACCCACTCAGGCCAAAGCAATTTGGTTTATATCCAGAATACTGACCCCCAAACTCTTTTAGCTTACTTGGCTTCATGGGCAAAACTTGTATGCTATACATAATCTCTTCTTGTAAGTATCTACATATTCTGGCCCAGCGTGGAGAGAGGTTCAAGCCAGAATCAGACGTTGTCATGAACATCCTGCCCCACATCTCAGCAATCCTCATTTCACCTGGGAACAGCACTGCCACATGAGTTAAGAAGTAGCCAGTTTTCAGATTATAGCAATCTTTAAGGACTTGGGATTCTGAGAAAACCAGGTGGCATATGTGGATCCTTCTCCATAACACAACTAAAGCCCACCACTCTTCACAGGACTCCACTCACGTCTTCATAAATGTTCTAAAGCAATCTTCCCTAATTACTAAAAGATGATGTTAACCTGAGATAGCTAGGCCAAAGTCACAGAAACTGACACAGCCTGTTTTCTCTCTCTATAGTACAGTCCATATCTTCCCTCACCTGGGCCACACAGTGGCCTTCTCCCTCTAGTGCCTTCTTCAGTTCCAACTTCATGTAACTGCAGGACTACTCTCCTAAGACAGTGCTTCTATCACCTCACTCTTTCTGCTCCAAAACCTCCAACAGCTCCCTAGTTCCTGTTGGATCTAACAGTTTATCTAATCAACCCTCCCTTTTGCAGAAAATGAGACAAAGGAGGTCCTCAGGCCTTTGATTCCATTTAGCCTTAACCAAATCTAGCTCTGTTCAAGGAAAAAGAGGAGGGTCAATGACCAGGACTCAGTAGAAAACCATGACTAAGAGTGGCTAGGAGAAGTGCTTCATCTGATCACAGGCCGAGGGATTGTAACAGGCCTCCTCTTATCTCCCTCGGGCACTCCCTTTCCCACAGCTGGCATCTAAAAAGGATGTCCCGTATTATTAAAACTTTCAATGCTCCCATATAGGCAGAGTCGGAGTTTGAAACAAAAAACAGGAGAAATAGGAAGTGAGAAGCCTGAGGTCAAATGACCAAATACCCATCATGTCACTATTGCCATGTGACTAAAAAGGGCATTGGACCAAATGGCTTTCAAGGTTCATTCCTTCTAGCCCCCAAAATCTAGAATGCTGTAAGAGTCAGGGAATACATACTGACATCCTCAGAAAGCTGGGGAAATTCATAGATATGTTCACAAGTGTTCCTACTGTTGGGGATGCAGAAGCCGAAACCAAAGTCAAAGTTTTTCAGCAAGCGTTCCCGGAAATAGTGCCGTTCAATCATCCGGAAGTTTGACACAGGTTTGTCTCCCACTGTGAACTCCACCCTGCAAAATAAATCTCTGTGAGCCCTACTGTGCCTCCTCCCTCTTCTAAAGCCAACCCAAGACCCAACCAACAACATTCTTCTCTGTGAACAAGCAGAATGTTCTACCCTCAGGAAATAATAGTACTCACGTAGCCCCGACTGTGCGGAGACGGAGAAATGCTGGTGTGAACTGATAGCGGACGAAACGCCCTGCACTGATATCCACATCTCCACCTTCCTCCTCTTCCTCCTCCTCCTGGTCTGAAAGAGCACACAGAATCTTAAGTGCACCATCTTGGCACTATCAGTTCAAGAGTTCTACCACCAGTCCAAACAGCACAATGACAACCAATGAACAGAACTAACACCAACAGTAGGGATGGCCAATATTTACTGCATATTTACTATATGTCAGGCCCTGTGCTAAATGCTTCATAGAATTCTTTTTTTTTTTTAAAAAGATGACCAGTAAGGGGATCTTAACCCTTGACTTGGTGTTGTCAGCACCACGCTCAGCCAGTGAGCGAACCGGCCATCCCTATGTGGGATCCGAACCCGGGGCCTTGATGTTATCAGCACCGCACTCTCCTGAGTGAGCCACGGGCCGGCCCAAAATTCTAATAACCCTTTTTACAGATCAGAAAGCTCAAGTTCAGAGAGATTAAGTAACATGTCCATAGTCCCCCAAATAGTAAATGGAGGGAACAGGGATTTGAATCCAGGTCCATCTAACTTGAGCCCTATTCTTCAACACTAAGCTACTTGCTTTTTATATAATTTGGAAGCTTGGGCCATATCTTAATTGTGAAACCTGAAACATAAGCTGGGTAATAGGCCCCTGACATGGTACATATTATACAGACTAAGTTTGGTTTTGACCAAGTTGAAGTGCTAGCCACTAACCAAAGGCACAAGGCTACAAAAGTTGAAACTATTCAAAAACTTCCTTCAGAGATACAAAAACTTCTGACAGGGGCAAAGACAAACCACTAGAAGAAATTTTGTTGTTTAAATGGAAGACACTGACCTACAGCCTTAGAGTACTGTACTTCCTCAGACTGATGTCTATTCCAGGACAAACCCTCTGAACACCTGGGAAAGAGTAAAGCAGAAGGGCAATAAACCAATGTGTGGAGCCCCTACAAGGTTAATGCTAGTCTTTGGTATAGTCCATTCCTGAACCTAGAAGACAAAAGATTTCTAAAATAAATCAGAGAATCCTTCTAATATGAACATGGAGTTAGTACCCTCCAATGCCCAATAAGGATATCTTCTTCAGGTCTAGGCTGAACATGGGTACTACATGGAGAAGTCTTTCTCAGTATCAAACATTTTTGCCTGTGACAAGTCCAAGAGCAACTGGGTAACCAGACTGAATAGGGGTTCATAGCCAGAGACTCTAAAGCCCTGGCTCCAACCATGCGATTCCAAGAGAGTCACACCAAACCTTCTCAGGGGAAGGAATCTGAATTCCTAAGAACAAGTGCTACAGGAAGGTACTGATTCAGTGTGAGGATATTCTAACTGAATCAAGACGCTTAAGTGTAAAGACTGGTGAGATCGAAAATCAAGATACTAGGGCCGGCCCGTGGCTCACTCGGTAGAGTGCAGTGCTGATAACACCAAGGCCACGGGTTCGGATCCCATATAGGGATGGCTGGTTTGCTCACTGGCGGAGCGTGGTGCTGACAACACCAAGCCAAGGGCTGAGATCCCCTTACTGGGGATCTTTTTAAAAAAAAACGTGGTGCTGACAACACCAAGCCAAGGGCTGAGATCCCCTTACTGGGGATCTTTTTAAAAAAAAACGTGGTGCTGACAACACCAAGCCAAGGGCTGAGATCCCCTTACTGGGGATCTTTTTAAAAAAAAACGTGGTGCTGACAACACCAAGCCAAGGGCTGAGATCCCCTTACTGGTGATCTTTTAAAAAAAGAAAAAAAAAAAAAGAAAATCAAGATACTTTATACTATCTGCAGCTGACCTTCCTGAGACAGTTCAGTTTTATACTGAAATGACTACTCTGCGCTGTCTAATCCAAATCCACATACCTGTAGTAGCCCTGAGGTCCTTGAAACGTCCTAAGTACTGGGACGTGTAGCTTAGAGATGAGAACATCACAGACCCAGGAAACTGGATGGCCCTGACTGACTGTCCCAATATAAGTAACCACAAACTTGAGCCTTTAGGCACCTTGGGCAGTACTAGACTATGATGTCCTGGGCTTTATAATTAACCCAACCTGAGACTTTCGCAGGATGGTCTTTTGACTTCTCTGGGATACTAATACCTGTTCTACCAAATTTGCAGGCTCTTTCTGAATAGCAAATAGATGAGAAAAGTTATTCTTACAGACCACAGTTTATATACTATAAAGGGTATCCGTACCCATGTTCTAACAAATGACTAACTCCAGGGGGCGCTAAATCTCCAATGATGTGCTCCAAAGACTTGTGTGGTCCCCTGGTCAGAAATGAATCATCTTGGAACCACCTCACCAGCACAGGAAGACACTATTCAAGGCTAATTTAAGGAATCTTGAATAGATGAGTTCATAAAATCCGTTCCTTCAGAAAAGGGTGGAGATTAAATCCAAACTAGGACTTACTGGGAAATCCAAGGCACTTTTTAACGGAGATTGAGAAGACTGGGGTGAAACTGCCTCATGGTATAGCCTGGATCTTCAGTATCACCCTTCCAGAGGACTCAAGGCTCAAGTGAGTTCTTCTTGTTATAATTTAATTTCAAGGATTCCTTTTCTAATTGGAGGCAATACAATAAGATGAAAGAGCAGAGGACCTTAGGAAAGTGTCTCTTGGAGATTCTGGGCATCGGCTCCTTCTCTATAAAATGGGAGGATAATAACTCCTAACAGTGGTGTGAGGATTGCCTAAGCTGATGTGCAGAAAGATGGAACAAAGTGACCAGCACTGAATAGATACTCAACAAATAGCCTCCGAACACAGCTTCAAACCAGCACACCTGATAGGCCAGGCCAGGGGAAGAGATCATGGAAGAGGACACACAGGAGCCCAAGAAATACGATGCAAAGGCACACAAATATTCGAGTTTCTAAGACCTTTTGCTCCAACTGTCAAGTGGTCACTATGACATTGAGGCCTACCTGAAACACAAGGTTTGGCAATCTCAAAAAGCACTGTCCCTGTTTCCAGATCTCGAATTTTGAAGCGGGTGAAGTCAATACTGTAGATGTTGTCTTCAGGTTTACATAAATAATCTGAAAATGAGAGCAAGAAACCAACGCTATTAAATAATTCTCCAAAACTACCATTTATTTCATTTTCAAGTTTTGAAGCAAACTCAGATTTTTTTTCCTACATAATTCACTTAAGATACCCCCCCAGAACTTTCTCTTGTGTTGTCATAAGCAAAAGGTATGTGGACAAAATTAGGGAATCGAAAAAAGAAAAAAAAGGGCAGGGTCTCAGTTTGGATGAAAGATTATCATAATACTTTTAGAAACAGGGGTAGCAAAAGAGGATTTCTTTGGAAATACCAACAAATCTTTCATTATCTATCAACTTGGATGTCATAACAGGACAGGATGTTTTTTACAAATCTATTTTTAAAAATTTATACTGATCTAATGGATAAATACAGTGGTTGTCAACCATGAGTGTGAGAAAGCAGGGATCAGCAAACTTTTCTGTACAGGGCCAAGTTATAAATAAATTAGGCTTTGCAGCCACATGATTTGTCACAAGCACTCAACTCTGACATTGTAGCACAAAAGCATCCACAGACAATACACAAATGAATGAGTGTGGCTATATTCCAATAAAACTGCATTTATGGACACTGAAAAATGGAATTTATATAATAACCACCTGTCACAAGATATTATTTTGATTTTTTTTTCAACCATTTGAAAATGGAAAAACAAGGGACCAGCCAGTTAGCTCAGCTGGTTAGAATATGGTGTTATAACACCTGGGTCAAGGGTTCTGATTCCTGTACCAGCCTGCCACCAAAAAAAAAAAAAGTAAAAGCCATTCTTAGTTTATGGGTGGTACACAATCACATAGTGGGCCATACATACACAGGCAGTAGGATAAATTTGCCAGTGAGAGCATCAGGGCAAAATGAAGCACAGCCTACAACAACCTGAGCAGCTAATCAAAATAGTACCGATCACAGAAAATTTCATTTCTTTCTTTCTATGATGACTCCTGATGGCATCTTCTCCACAATTCATTTTGACACTTTAACTTATATTGCTTGCTTGTGTTAGTTGTTTCATGTTCTACAATCTGTCTCTGCAGTAAAATGGCAAACATGAGAGCTACCGATTATTCTGTAACTCCAAAAAAGGCTGACATTGGTTCTGCACCTTTAGAAGGTACTCAATAAATAACCTGCTGAACGGAACAGACAAGACATTAGGAAGAGTAACAAAATCCATAGGTCACCAAGCTCAGATCTGTGGCTTTCTCCAAGCTGCAGAGGTGAGTTTGGGTAATGGCACCACTCCCAATACCCCATACGGGACCCGAGTGCCCACTGAGAATGATGCTTAGGAGCAGGCATTAGAACGGCCTAACTCACCCTTGATATCAGGAGAGAGATGAGGTTACAGAGGTCAGGGGCTGAGCGTTTCTGTACTTTCAAAGCCCCAAATAAAACTGGGTCAGAACAGAAGCAGCTTTTTCACAATATTTCAGTGAAAATGAGTGGTAATACTGTCTGAAGACACATTCAGGCAGGCAAAGTGCAGTCCCAACCCGAACAGTAATGTAAAATGGGGACATCAAAATATACAGAATCAAATTAAAAGTATTTTAGGAAATGGGAATTCCTTTCACACAGGCTGAACCAAGGCCCACCTCCCCCAAACTCCCATCCCCCAAATGCTGGAGCTGTCACTAGCAACCTGAGGTACACATGAGCAGCCTGGTCTGACTACTAAAGCAATTCAACAGGCAACACCACAGCAGCCTTCAATCCATAAAGGGGCTGCTTCTGCAGAGTTAAAAGTGTGCAGGGCAGGGGGATGGGCAGAGAAAGCCAGGCCCAACCAGGTGACTACAAAGTCCTGGGGGGAAAAAAGCAGCAAAAGAAAGGCTGTCAAGTCAGGGCTAGGCTCGGCAGAGAAAAGAAAAAGGAGATCATCCAGGACAGGGAATGGGCAATATACTTCTTCCCACCCTTCTATATATCAATGAAAAGGCTTAGAATAGTTGCCTTTTATATAAAAAACATTTCTGAAACTCTGACATAATTCTTAATTCACTAGAACAAATGTCAAAAACAGGATTCACATGTCGGAGTTCGTACATAAATTGAAACTTTATTTTTTTTTAATGTGGCACAGTTTTAAATGTGCGCGAAATGCCACGGTCATGTGTTTTGAGGAAGGAAGAGTCCACCTGCACACAAAGGGGCAACGCTTGGGACCAAAACGGGGAGGGGAGCCAAGGTAGAATAGGGGAGGGGCCGGAGCGGAGGGAAATGCAGAGAAAGTAGATAGGCGCTCTGGCATGGCAGAGGCCTGCGGAAGCTTGGGGTAGACCGGTTGCGGGGGGCCTGGCTGAGCGGGTACCTCACAGGGGGGGGGGGGGGTCTAGGCTGAGAGGGGCTCATTTACTAGGAGACAGCGGCCTCCGCTGGCTCAGACGAACGGGGCCCCCCCACAAACAGTTCCAGCAGAGGTGGGGCACGGCCCGGCCTCGGCGGGCAAGGGGAAGCCTGACGTGGCCGGACTCAGGGGAATACAGTCAAGCCCAAGGAGAACCCCTTCCCCACCAGGCCTAGTGAGAGTGGCGAGGGCAGACCTGGGCCGGCGGAGCGGTGGGAAGCGCGGCCTGACCGGCCAAGGGGGCCTGGGTGGACCCCGCGCCAGGCGAGCGCCGGATCTTCTGAAGGCTACAGAGGCCCGGGGCCCGGCGCGAGGGGAGGGCGCGGCCAGCCCAGCACTCACTCTCCGTGACCCGACTGAGGCGCAGGACGTGCTCGGGCCGGATGGTGTCCAGCGCCAGCAGCTCTTGCTCCGTGACCACTGCCCCGATGCCGTCATCGGCCGCGTGGTGGGGCGCCTGCCGCCGCGCCTTGAGCCGGTTCAGAACGCCGCCGCCCGCCTTCTTCTTCTCCTCCTTGCTAGCCACCAGCCCCCCAGGTCCGGATGCAGACCCCGCAGCCCCGGCCCTCGGGTTCGACCCGCTCATCGCTCCGCCGCCAAGATGGCCGCCGCCTCCACAGCGCCGTAACTATGGAGAGCGGGGGCCGGGCCGGAGGCACCTGGCAGGGGCGGGGCCTGCGGGGGCGGTGCTCGGCTCTTGAGCCAACTTCGGTGCAGCAAGGTGGGGGGTCCGAGGGGTGGCTGGGACTTTGGTACCCCCACACTCTCCATCAGGACCCCGAGGTTACTTCAATTTTTTTTTTTTTTTACTATTTTGAAAGGGTTTTATTTTTTTAATTTTATTTTGTCGATATACAATGTGGTGATTATTGTGGCCCATTACCAAAACCTCCCTCCCTCCTCCCTCTCCTCCCTCCCACCCATACCTCAAATATTTTAAAGCTTATATCTTACGGTCAAATTAATATCTGTCATATAAACTGTGGACAAGGCAACGTGAGAAAATGTTTATTAATATCTTTAGCATAGAATGTAACTTAAAACAGTGTTTTCTAGGGCCGGCCAGTGGCTCACTTGGGAGAGTGTGATGCTGATAACACCAAGGCCAGGGGTTTCAATCCCTACACAGGGATGGCCAGTTGGCTCACTTGAGGAGCTGGTGCTGACAACACCAAGTCAAGGATTAAGATCCCCTTACTGACCATCTTTTAGAAAAAAAAAAAAAGTCTTCTCTGCAAAGGCAGCTTCAAGACAAACTTTCTAATTAGATTGTCATCATAAGCCCAACTGTGCCAGGCCTTGGGCTAGACATATCATAAGCCCAACTGTGCCAGGCCTTGGGCTAGACATTGGGCTAGATTACAGGAAATAAGAATGAGGGCAGAGATTAGGTCTCCCTTATTCACCACTGTATCCCCCGCACTTTAGCTGATGCCTGACACATAGTAGGTGCTCAACGACGAATTAGTTAGTGAATGAATGAATGAACAGTTCTCCACTATGGAAGAGCTCCCTCTTTGTTGGGGAACACAGTGAAGTACACCATTCATTATGAGACCCTTCCTCTTGACAGACCAGGTAAGTATGAACTGGAAAACGAAATAGACTCAGCTGACTGCTAAAGAGGTGCAGCAAAGGTGTGACAAGATTACACAGGAGTGGCTTATTCTGACAGAGCTGTGAGGGTCTGGGGAATTGGGGAGAGGTTACACTGAGGTGACATCTGCACTGCACCTTGGAAGTTAACCATAGTTTCACTAATGAAGGAGGTGGGTGAGGAAAAGGCTGTCCTCTTAAACCCCCCCAAGGGGCTCCTTCTCTAGACATTCTGGACATACATGTTGAAGACTTGGCCCTGACTGTTGCAAAGGGTGTCTGCTAGGTCTGATGTCACCTCTCAGCCAGACATAGGCCACAGTGAAGTTCTATCCCTCCCCCCATAATCTCAAGACCTGATTTATGCCAGGCCTTGCTGGGTCCCCCTCACTTGATGTGAGGGGCTTGGGAGGGGCTGGCAGGCCTCTCCTGGTTCCCAGATAAAGTCCAAACCAGACCCCACCTGGGTGGAACAGTATGTGGCCAAGTTTCTACCTAAATGCTGTACTGTCTTTGAGAAATTAGCATCTGGTGGCACTCACCAAACAGCTTATAGAGATTTTAATAAATGTGTAAAAAAAATTAACATCTTTCCTTTTGCAAACAATTCTTTTAACCCGCTCAACAGTTGAGTAGCTACTGAAATTTTTCCAGAACTTTAATATGCTACTTGATTATGAATTGCTGAGAGGGTGGTTTAGCATGCAGCCATTTCCCACACAGTTGCTCACTTAACCTTTGTTCTCAGAGCACCAGGATTACAGTTACCTGAACCCTGGGAGTTTTTTTCTAGGGATGATGACAAATGTATTAACCCCTTTACCTGCAAATTCACATCCAGGAATTTAGCCTGCATGTATGCACAAAGATGTTTACTGCAGGACCATTTGTAACATTGAGAAATTAAAATAAATTACAGCTGTATCCATTCATATTACACAGCTGTTAAAAGAATGAGATCCATCTATATATACTAGTATGGAAAGATCTCAAAGATATATGGGGGGGCGAGGCAAAGAATCCCATTTGTTTAAAATAAAAAGGTGTATGAATATATAGATGTGTATTTGTAATTGTAAAGAGATCTGGATATACATTAAAATGTTAACCTTGATTACCTCTGGGGAGGAGAGTTATTGGAAGGGGCTAAAGGGAATATGTTTACTTTTGACAGTATTTAGAGCTACTTCTGTAGTGTTTTGCCACAAACATATGATCATGGTCTGATTGTATACTTTTTTTTTTTTTTTAAATGACCGGTAAGGGGATCTTAACCGTTGACTTGGTCTTGTCAGCACCACACTCTCCTAAGTGAGCTAACTGGCCATCCATATATAGGGATCCGAACGTGTGGCCTTGGTGTTATCAGCACCACACTCTCCCAAGTGAGCCACGGGCTGGCCCTCTGCTTCTATACTTTTTAAAAAAGAAAATACCTTAGGATCTGTATCTGTAAGGCAGACTCTATGCCAACGTAGCCTTATCTTCTCTTAAAATTTAAAAGCAACCTCAAACTCGATCAACTTCTGTTTTTAAAAATATAAATACTGCCATATGAGAAAATCAGGGCCTATACTCTCTCTGGTCACTACCTGTGAAGTATGGTTAAAAGGAATAGACTACAGGGCCGGCCTGTGGCTCACTTGGGAGAGCGTGATGCTAACACCAAAGCCATGGGTTCGGATCCCTATATAGGGATGGCTGGTTTGCTCACTTGGGAGAGAGTGTTGCTGACAACACCAAGTCAAGGGTTAAGATCCCCTTACCAGTCATCTTTAAAAAAAAAAAAAAAAAAATAGACTACATCTTTAGGAGACTAGGAAACAGAAAAAGAAAAACAGTACATATATACGAAATTTCATTTTTAAAAGGGGTAGGAAAAATTAGGGCTGTAACCTACAATATGCCTTTCCTTACCAAGTTTTCCTAAGGTATGTTAAAAGGCTCTTTCTAAATGTTTTTTGAAAATTACATATACTAATACACTGTTTGGGGGAAGAAGGAAAATAGAGCATTACTGCATTAAGGAGTACCCTCCAAAGTTTCCCTGGGCTAGACAGGGGAAGCCTGGAGCTAGCCTCCCTTCCACCCCAGCTTGGTGTTCTGTGAGTCTCTCCAGCTGGTTGTTTTCCTCCCGGTAGAGATGTGACGATGGCTGTTTCACAAGGCAGTCCTAGAGTAGCCAGGCAGTCTGCCTCAAATCAGGCCAGGCAGGTGGGGCCCAGAGCTGGTGCAACCAAAGTAAGCAAGACATCAGAGGGCTTTTTTTCTGCCAAGACTGGGAAGTTCAATCCTCCTTTCTGCTGCCTCCTTAAGGACGGCATGCATCAAATCAGCAAGTCATGGCTGGGATTACAGGCATGCCTTGTGGTCTGGGACTGAGAGCTGGTAATTTCCCTAATATCCAACTCACTTCACTCCCTGGCTGGGGGCTGTTTTTAAAAAGCATTAATTTATTATTTATATCTCACTTGTTTCCAAAAAAGTATTTCAAAATCATATAGCACAAAATTCATATAACCTTGTGGATGGCAGTACTTTCAAAATTTTATTTATTTATTTATTATTATTTTTTTTTTATAAAAGATGACCGGTAAGGGGATCTTAACCCTTGATTTGGTGTTGTCAGCACCACAATCACCCAGTGAGTGAACCGGCCATCCCTATCTGGGATCTGAACCCATGGCCTTGGTGTTATCAGCACCGTACTCTACCGAGTGAGCCACAGGCAGGCCCCTGTACTTTCAAAATTTTAAACGCATACATCATTTGATCCTGTAATTCCTTAAAGAAATTCTTTTTTTTTTTTTTTCCTTTTTGTCTTTTTTCGTGTCCGGCAACGGATCGCAAAGGCCCCTGTACTTTCAAAATTTTAAACGCATACATCATTTGATCCTGTAATTCCTTAAAGAAATTCTTTTTATTTTTTTCCTTTTTGTCTTTTTTCGTGTCCGGCAACGGATCGCAACCCTCAGTGTCGCGCCCGTACCGGACCGGGACCGGCAACGGGATCGCAACCCTCGGCGTTGCCCCCGCTCCTCGCTCAGCCAGTGAGCGGCCGGTCTGTATGTGGGATCCGAACCCTCGGCGGGAGAGCCGCTGCACTTCCCAAGCGGCGCACTGTAGCAGTGCGCCACCGGGCCGGCCCCTCCTTAAAGAAATTCTAAAGAAACATTTGCATATATGCAGAAAGATGTATGTGCAAGCCCATTCATTTAGGCAGTTTGTACCAGCAATAAAATGAGCACTATCTTAATGTTCATCAGGAGATTGGTAAAATAAATTATTCTAACCATAAGATACTGTGCAGCCCTTGAGATTGAGGAAAATCTCTATGAACTAAGCTATTTATGTGTATAAACTCTCTAAAACATATTAAGTAAAAAAGAAAGGTGCAGAATGGCATGTATAGTATGAACCCATTTGTTTAAAAAGATTATATATGGACATATATATGTAAATACAAGGGTACTTCAAAAAGTTCATGGAAAGATGCATATTGTCTTTTTCTTTTTTTTTGGTGGCTGGCCTGTACGGGGATCTGAACCCTTGATCTTGGTGTTATCAGCACCATGCTAACCAACTGAGCGAACCGGCCAGCCCCATATTATCTTTTATTTTTTCACAAACTTTTTGAAGTACCATTGTACATACAAAATGAAAGATACACACCAGACTGTCACCTCTATTATCCTTTTGGAATTAGAGGGTTAAGGATGAAAATAATCTTTCGTTTTGCGCTCCATATAATTTTTGAAAGTATATTTGTATGTATATATATATATATATATACATATATATATATATATATATCCTTGTATCAGTCTTTTTCAGAGAAAGTAAATCCCTATGTAACCATGGCTTCATCAGTTATCAACATTCAAAAGGTTCCCTTTTGGGCCAGCCCGGTGGCGCACTGGAGAAGTGCGCCGCTTGGGAGCATGGCGGCGCTCCCGCTGAGGGTTCGGATCCCATGTGGAGACCGGTTCGCGATCCCATT